GAATCTTTAGTATCAGCTGTACCATACCATGTAAATACAAAATAAAGGAATGAGTCACTCTCTGGGCTACTTTCCACCTAATTTTTTTAAAGAAGATTCACTGATTGAGCTTCGGAGAATCATAACAACTTGTAATTCTCTATGGTGGGGATGGGAACTTCACACAAAGTCAGGGCCATAAAAAAAAATATGCAAAGTGGCCCGTAAAAAATATACAAAAAGTCATAATAGAAAACTGGGTTTACAGTGCTGTAAGTCCTAAATCCTGTAGCAAAGTCACCTAGTTTTCATTAAACCTGTCTGGGCCCTCCTATTCCTTTTGCCGTCATTGCAAATCACCCTGCACACGATGTATGGCATAGGATTTGAGCAAGACAGAGCTTGTGAAGCAACACAGATTTTTTTAATTTGAGCCCTGCTTTCTCTAGGCTATTGCCTGTATACAGCTGCAATGTTCTGAATTAAAAAAAAAAATAAATAAAAAAAAGTTTTTGCTTCCTGTTTCTTCAGCACAAAAAATTAGTAATTTTAGCCAAAGTTTGTCACATCCATGGTCTCTGGTGTGCTACTCTACTCACTGCCTGGTTTCTTTTGAAGTTTGCTTTCAATTACAATTCAATTTTACAACATTCTGTATATGTAAATTACTTTGTTCTAACATGTGGTTTTTTGGTAGGTACAAGAGTTTCTTGCAAAAAGTTTTACTCAAAAATCATTTATATAAAGACTTTCTCCCCCTGGACTATGAAGTTATTAAAGAAATCCTGCCTGAACAAATCTCCCACACGGAGTGTATACAAACAGCAGTCCTGTGTGGCTTTTTTATGTATTTCAACATTTCCCCTGGGAGAATGTTTTTCTCCCTATATAACTGCTGCTATGTCTGAGCTCGCTGGTGGAGCTTTTCTTCAGTGATGAAGATTTCTTCATATTTCTGGCATAGCTATTCTTTACTTTGAGTGTATTTTTTTCATGCATATTGAGGCTTTTCCTTTCTGAATTGCATCTTAGAGTTGCTGTTCCTCTGAGAATGCTTTGGTGTGTTTTCAGATCTCTGCTTTCTGCTTCTATCACCAGCCTCAGTCAAGACATATACATGAAAGATGTATATTATATATACCTTATATTAGACATAAAATACATATCACATATATCAGATACATATGATGTGAAGAAGAAAGTAACTGACTTTTAAACAAGTTTCTCTGTTTCAAGCTCAAGAGTACTTCACTGGGCAGCAAAATGAAGATGTACAGACTCTTCAGCATGTAGTAAAAGGTGAGCTTTGGGGAATTGCAGCAGAGAATGAGCTAATGCATGTTTCAGTTATTGTCATATCATTCTGGGAAACCGAGCTGGACATTACTGGAAAATTTGGGAGTGCTGTTTCTTATAATGAAGGGAAGGGGTACATTCCTGGATGCCTGCAAGCTGCTCCGGCAATCTGAAGGCGATTATCAGGTAGGTACTCATCAAAATATCATATCATCAAAACATCAATATCATTAACAGCAGTGGTTATACAGGCATGCGTAGGTGTCTGTACTATAATCTGAAAAAAATTAAGGAGAAAAATTACCTGCATCATCAGCAAACATTTCATAGGCTTCTGATGTTTTGTTAAGTAAAGAAAGTATTTCACTGAACTCTGTAGAGTTCCTGATACACTTTTGTCTTAGATTGCCCTTAAAAAGCTGGAGGCCTATGAGGGCAAAGACACTCAAGCAGAAAACGGTCAGGATCATCACATCAGCAAGTTTCTTAACAGACTGGATAAGTGCCCCTACAATGATCTTGAGTCCTAGGAAGACAATACACAAAGGAAAAACAAGATGAAAAACTGAGATTCATATATCATACTTGATTAGAGTTAAAACAATGTATAACAACCAAAGTACCAAAATTACAGGATAATATCTAGCAAATATATTTGTAATGCGAGTATAGTTTAGATGAGAGAGTAATATGAGAACAATATTTTTTCCTCATTTGGGTCACCCTACAATTTCCAGATGTTCCTTTAATCCCTGTAAAATATTTAGGCGAGGATGAGGAACCAGAGATAGTCTAGTTTTTCTTATCCAGAAAGAGTAATATGCATAATTCAAAAGAAATTTCCAACACTGGTAATCTGTGAAGAAACTGGAAACACTGGAAACAATAATGGCTATGATCAAAGAGAATACAGAAGACCTACTGGTTCTTAATTGTATTTTGTCGTGAGAAAGAATCCACTGGCTTTATAACTAAGGGAAAAGTGAAAAGGAAACTTTTTTCCCAGGGATGATGTAAGACGATTAATAGTAAACTCTGTTCAGTCACCAGAGGCGTTTCTGTTGAACCATAACGCACAGACCAGCTCAAAGAAAATTCTGTAAAACTGACATTATAAAATGTTAACAAAATCTTTAAAAACATAGTGAAAATAAATTAAATACAAGATTGTTTCTAACACTTTATTTATTCTGGTCGGACCAGGTGAACTGAGGCACTACTTGTGTCCACAAATTCAGCTGTGTCTGCAATCAGTGAAAGATGTTGGGGGGCAGCGGGGGGAAGAAAAGGCAAAAGCCAACATTTTGATTGGAGCAAAGAATCAGTTGTAAGTTACAGAAAATATTCAGCAAATAGGGTTTCTTACCTGGAACTACTGAAATGGTTTTTAACGCTCTCAGAACCCTGAAAGTCCGAAGGACTGACACGCTTCCCAGGTTACTAAATGCTCCCACATACCTGTAAAGTCAGGACATGATATGTCAAGTGGCTGAACAAAGTAAACAGGGCAATTATTTCACAGTGGTCATTCTGAACTGTCAATCCTTCTGAGCACATTTTAAGTATTAATAAACTACATATCATGGGTTTATCTGAAGACTTATAAAATAGAAATCCATTTCTTGATTATTAGAGTTTCCTTATGAGGTAGTTCTTGGCTTGTGCATAGCTGCTTTTCTGTCAGCATCTTAAAATATCATGCATTTAAAATATAAACAAAGATAGCACTCAAAATTATTCATTTCAGCCTGAAACACTGGCTGAAGTGGTTTGATCTCCCTTCTGTAGCTGCACCTAACCGGTATAAAGGCTTTCTAATTACTGTAAACTGAAGCTCAAACTATGATTTTTGGAGATAAAGAGCCCAAATTTAATCCACCATCCTGGTGTCTATACACATCACTCTATTTTCAAACTTACACTTTCATTCACAGGATCAGTACGCCTGTATTTGACAGCCCAGCTATTGCATTTCACTGATTGAAATGCATCGTTCACGTACACTCACCACAGGCTGTATCCTGTGCTGCACAGCACTATTCCCTTCTTGAAAGACTCATACATTGTTGTTATACAGTGAGCAATAAAACAAGGGCAAGAGTCAATGTCCTAGATAGTTTCAGATGCAGTTAGGACCCACAGGGGTTTTTTTCGTGCGGCAGACAGGCTTTTGCACCACAGCACCAAGAACTTCAAATACAGAGCGCGAGCGCAGGTAATCTGTATTTTATACGTTCCCACTTACGCCATAACGATAACACTGAAATCCAACCAGTTCCAGGGATCTCGAAGGAAAGTGAATTCATTTAGACAGAAACCTCTTGCCAGTATTTTTATCAAAGATTCAAAAGTGTAAATGCCAGTGAAAGTAAATCTAAGGAAAGGAGAAAAACACCAAAGAAAGCCGGCAATATTAGCAATTAACGGAAGAGACACAGTCAGACTGTTTACTGTCTAGGCCAACAAACCAAGCCAATGCTGCAGAGAAGTAATGGAAAGACCGCTGTTGGTTTCAGTGGATTCTATCAGTATCTGACTCGTATGGAATTTGAGACAGTAGCTGACTGCAATCTGGACATGGCTATTAACGTGCACGCCTGTGACATTGTTTTTTGGCATTCAACAATTTTTTTCAAACTCTTTCATGTGAGTCCCCATAATTTGAGAAACACAAAACTCCTAGCTACTTGCTAAAATAAAGATCAAAATTTGTATCTTCCTCTGGTTTCAAGTGGCCAAGAGCATGCATGATATGCTGTGTATTATTTACTTTGGGCACAGAGCATCCATTTCTGTGCAGAATGTTTAAAACACTTAGAGAAATAGACGAATACAGGATTTTCAGTTTAAGATGGCAATTATTCTTATTAATGGAAAATTAACAGTAAAAGCTCTTTGGGACTTACTGAGTGCACTTATCATTTCAGCAAGAGAGGGATCTCCCTACAGAATTCAAAAGGCATTAATTTGGTAGTCAGCAAATGCACTAAGAAATTATATGGATGTAGTGCTTCCCTTTTCATTTGGAAAGAAGTATTCTGAAAGGATTCTTGAAATGCATTTGAACAGTAGTTTTGATGCCAACAGCAGATACAACTCTTATCTAACCCTCGCAAGTAGGGAATTATCCCAGCATCTTCTGGAGAAATGTATATTAGTATCAGGCAGAGCCTTTTTCCTGCTTGCGTGAGGATTTGCCATTCCCAGCTGTTTCAGTGCCATGTAACATGAGATATTCAGAAACAATTCTAGAGCTGTTTTTAAAAATAAGTATTTTGGAATCTTTGCATTAGGTGTTAGAATTATCAGGGTTTGTATTCTAACATTTTTATGCCAAACTGAAAAAGTGAGAGCTGAAATATTCTTTTAAAAAGAATAAAAACATGGGATTATCCCGCTTAAGTGTGACTACAAAGGCATGGATTTATTGTGATTTAACATTGCAAGTGTTGGCAGCGCTGAAGATAAGAGCTTTACTTTCTAACAGCGTCCTGCAGGCCAGGAGCTTGTGACAGAATGTTTTATTAAAGCAAAACTCATCATTTCAATATTATTATAAAGAATTTTAAAAGACAGCAGCTCTTGATGCACTTCATCAGCATCAGCAACAATGGGAAATGTGTCTGGATAAAGAGCAAATAATTACTGAGTAACTTCGGAAAGTGGGATAACAAACTGGAGCAGCAGGATAGACATGAAGCTAGTTCAACAGCAAGAACTTAATCTGCACTTACTCTCTCCTATAACACCACAATTTTTGTAGCTATTGAGTTTAAAGACAAAAATACTCCCTCAAAGCAAAAGAAAAGGCGAAGTCCTAACACAAGCAACTTTCCTTCTAAATCCCCCATAAACTACCTTGAGTGAAGACAGCAAGTCTCAATGATTGAATATAACTGCAGAATTAAAAAATATACGTACCCACAGATACTTACTCAACATACTTGTTCCATGAAGGAGATGGAGAAGCCTTAGAGGACTCAGTCAGAGCCATGAATACACAATTAGTTAGAATTGTGCACATGATAAACAAAGTGAATAAAGTAAGTCACAAGAGTGAAGGCAAATAATATGACATTGATTCAGAAACGTAACTAGATATTCTATCAGTCATAGATGTAGTACCTGATTTTGAGTTTAAAGCACATGTAAGAACAGCATGCACATGTATTTGCTGATTTTGAGTCGTATTAGATGACAACATACTACTGTTGTTATTCATGCCATCTGGACTTCTGTATGGGATAGAGATCTGCTGCTCTAAGCATTGCACACTTGGTAAAAGGCAGGATGCATTTTTCATTTCATTTTATAGCATAAAAGTTAAAAAATTGCCTAAGGTCACAGAGATGAAGCCAAAACCTGACTCTAAATTGGTAGAGCTGCGCTCTTCTGAAGGGACAGCATGAAGTCTGCCAGGATACTTGCAGGTGTCTCAAAGGACTCTATATGTCCATGTTTAGCCAACTCTTGGGGCTGCCCAGCTGCTTTCTGGGACCTGCTGACTATAGGGGATAAACAGGAATTTGGGCACCTAGCTCACATGTAGACACCTAAGCTTAAGCCCTTGGCTCTGGAGCTGACTCTCATGCCTTGTGTCATACCACATGTTCTGGCAATCCAGGAGGTAGATGTCCATGGGAAAGACATCTAGCCTTTCCATCATCCGTCCTCTCCATCCCCACAAAAAATCTCCTGGCTTTAGCTCTAGGCGTGGTCAAACTGTCACAAACCCAGGAGCTGGACCTCTAGTGTTGAAATGCCAATATCAGCCAACTTGCTGCCCAGGGAAAGCCTCCAGTGAGAGGCATCGCTCCTCCAGGGATGTCTGTACCCTGCTACAACAACAACTTCGAACCCACTGCAGCTAACTCAGCACCACACAGCCAGAAGATGGCTGGAAATCTACAATCCACACAGGCATACCGTAGACTCTGCATTGGGCTTGGTTCAGCCCCAAGCAGCAGTGTTATTGCTCTGGTTTCATTCCCCAGTGCCAAACTGGAGCAATACACTAGTGATTCCTGTCCCCTAAATTTGAGGTATGAGGTGGGATCTATATATTACCTTTATATTCCAAAGGCATTCCCTGCAAAACATCCCTGGAAATTTTCACTTTCATATACCAAAGATATATTTTTTAATCTGCTTTCCTAAAGAAACTAAGTTTGCATAATTTTTCTTTCTATGTGTTTTCATATGCGTACCTACCTATCTCAGCCTTTTTTTCTTAAAATTCGCCAATGATTGATCAGCTTTGGCACATGAGTTGAATTTAATTCCTACAGTTTGGGTAAACAGAAGATGAGAAAGAGGATAGGGATCTTACTAGTCTTCTCTCTGAGAAAGGCTTCAGCATGAGAATCTTGTTTATGAGATGTCAGGAAATCAACATCAGAGATCATTTTCAAAACCCAAATCTAGAAAATCAGGCTTCAATAACTCCAGTACTCACAAAACTGTTTATTTCTACGTAGCACAAGAGCACCAAGACAATAATAATTTCTAAGGTAATTCATAATTAGAAGTAATCTGGAGTGAGGAAGAGACTAGATTCATTCAATGCTCTAAAATACAAAAGCACAGCATTATGTAGGGTTTCGTAATCAAAAAGAGTGAATGAAGCCAACAAAAGGATATAAATGTACTAAAATTTTAATTGCTGTTCTTCGGATTGGATGGAAAGGACTGAGGATCCATAAGGCACGCGTAGCAGTAAATCTGAAGATTGTTTTCTGTTTGTTTAGCACTATGAAAACCTTTAAAAAATAAAGAAACATGAAGACAGAGAACATATTTTTAGTACTATATCCTGTTGTATCAGTGATGAGCAAGAGCTTGATTTTCATTTTAGTCTGTTTAAATGGGAAGACTCTTTGTAATACTTTGCTATCCTTTCATCATAAACTGATGAAAGAGTTAATACCCACTAACTGTCAAGCTGCAAAAAAATCCTCAGCATGAACTTCTTTTTTAAACCTTAGGACCTGCAAAGAGTAGTCCACAGAACTAATCTTGCTTATGACTATTCTTTTAAAATAAATTGAACCTCTCATTGAGTCAAGATATACAGAGGTGGAAGGAAGAATTGCAGCCTTTATCATTATTTGGTATTGTTGATAGTGATCCTCTAGCTCCAAGACTGTAGAAATTAGTTCAAAGTATAACCATTTCTCTAGCAATAAGCATAATTTCCAATGGATTAGTTCCTATTCCTCTGTTCTTTATTGAAAATCATATTCTTAAATACTTCATGACTAGAATATGGAGCTTGAATAAGTAGGTTTTAAGGATTCATCAGCAAATGTTTTAAAATAATTTTTATACTTAGGTGATCATTTATTGTGCATGTAAGTGGAGCATAAGCTTTGAGATAGAGAGGAACATGTTGTCTCAAGCCATGGACTTTAAGAAAATTTACAAAATTATTATCATGTTTTTAGATCTGACTCAAATCACCCTTTTCTTTTTATCCATTTTATTTTTTCTGCTTCCATTCTGATTCAAATGTTAATCAAGTTCATATTATTTAATTCCTATAATTCTAAATTAAGCTTTTTTTAAGAAGATTACAGCATGTCATTCAGCTGTGCCAACTGCCTGCATTATTACAACCTAGAAAGGAATATAAACAAGACTGATAGATCAGTCACATAAACACTTCTTAGCAACACAATAAAACAAATTAAAATCCAAAGATCTTGGTTGGCTCTAACCTTACGATCTTTGTAGTATGGGTCGAGGTCCTCCAGTGGTTCCCCAATGAGCTCTGGAGGAGGATTTCCATAGAGAGCTGGTAACTTTTGGAAAGCTTTTAGGTCAAGTTGGGGACGTGGTTTCTCCTTAGGTTTCTGGTCTATAGTATTTCTTCGAGAGTTTTTCTTGGCAGCAATTCTCTTTTCGATAGCAGCCAAGGATTCATAAGTGAACTTACGGAAGTTGTCAGTACCAGGTAGTAAGAACTCAGCCATTTTTCATTCTTCTCTTCCTGTCACTAATTCTGTCCAAATAATAGAAAAAAGTAGAAAGGAAGTCAAGTAACTCCAAAACAAGGAAGCTGTGAAAATTGAACAACTGTTTGCCCATGCATGGCTAGTAACATAAACTTTCTGAGCCATCAGCTTCTAAAAAGAAAAAAAAAAGATACAATCAATACCTTTTTCTGTGACATGTCTGTTCAGTATTTTTTTAAAATTATGTGTATCTGATAGGATGTGGGCAGACCTCTATCAACTTAAAAGTGTATTTGGAGCACCTCATTTAAGACACCTGTTATCCTAAATGCTCTTGAGCTGTTGTTCAGAAAAAACCTAAAATGTTGGTTTAACCCAGTAATTGGAAATGGGACGGTAAAACCGATCAAACTGCAACATCAAATATGTGGAAGCTGTGTCTGCAACAGGAGGATCAAGTATTAAATTAACTAGTGCAGATGTAAGTACTCAGATGGATAACCCATCTTGATGGTGTCAGCACAGAAACGAACAGCGTCCAAGCATCAGAAGATTTAACTTGTGACCCATAGAGTCAGTCTTGACTGACATGGTGGACACAAATGCTTGATCTGACAAGTATCAAGCACAAAGTTTTTATTTTATACCCATCTGTCAGAACAAAAAAAGTGAGATTATACTAGAAAATACTTTGCATTATTTAATGGAGAATTTTGGTCAGGTATTGGATAGGATCCATTCAACTAAATGCAACTAAACAAGTCCATACATTGGCAGTACAGTGTATCCAACCTTCTACCTTAACACTGTGCGAAGCTTCAAAGGCAGGCCATGAAGTGCATACATATTGCCACTAAAAAACCTGAAAATGGTACACAGAGTAAGATGATCCAGACCTGCATCCTTGTACTAAACTCACTCAAGAGCTCTATAAGGAGATTTCTCTAACATATTTTCTTTGATTATGCCCTCTAGGAACACAGCCAGGTCTTCACATCCAGAAGCTGCCACCACCACTTCAATGTGTCCTTCAAAGCTGACTCCATAACTAGCAGTCAGAGCCTATCTTGGGAAGTTTAAGCTGTCCTTGCTGCTCAGCTGCCAGATGACCTGCTCTTGCACCTTTCCTTTCCAGGCACTATATGCGACATCCCAGGAAAACACAAAGTCTGAAACAAGAGGCTTTGTTTTACTGAAAATAGATATTTTTACCACCTGTGTGCTGACTCCCTGTATCTTCCCCTACCATGCAATGCTGTTTCAGTTCTCCCCAGGTACAACATGATTTCAGTTGTCCTTACATTGCTGAACTGTAGGAAACTATTGCTGTGAGAACAACAGCTGGAGGCAAGTGACTAACTGCAGTTAGTTAAATAAGCACACAAAATTATAAATATGAAAAGTAACCCTGGCTTCCAGCACAAAATAGCAACATTTCTGGAAGAGAAATAGGACATTCAGGCAAGAATACTCATGATTTTCTTCTTTTCAAGATCAAGCTGACAGTCTGGAAGTTGTGTGTAGTATTATAGCAAAAATGAAAATGATAACATCCACTCCCAAGTTTTCAAGTCTTCAGCTAGCCAAAGTGGTATTTGTTTTGCTGATGCTCAGAGTAATTTAGATGTTGTGGTATTAGTAATGAGAGCTGTGAATGATGCATGAAATGACACAATTTCTGTGCAATGCACGGAGGGAATACAATAATTACTTTATTCTGCTCTCTGCCAAATCATCCAAACATACCCAGCCCTCCACACAGCACTTCCATAGAAGTCTACCTGATCGCAAAACTTCACCATTAAAATTTTGGATTTGTTGCAGATGTCTTTGCTGATTTCTCTTCTCTCTTCCATGAAACCATCCTCAAATCCCAGGAAAGAAACTTTGATTGTCACACCGTTCTCCCTCAAGACTATTAGAAGGCAGAGCAAAATCTAGGAAGACAAGATGTTGCTGGCTAAAGCCAAGGATGGGGAAATAGGAGGAAGCATGAAGGCACGTAGATGCAGGTCCTTGGCCAGAGCTGGAGACCAGGCAGAGGAGCCTTTCCTGGTACAGGTGGTTTTATGGATTGCTCCAGAAGTGAACAAACATTAAGAAATTAAGTCTTGTGCTTCCTGTCTCACTCGACAGTAGCAAAATTTCCATCGGCAGCAGCTGCAAGTCATGGAGTAGAAGACTAAACTACATTTTTCATTCATGGGCAATTCTGAGCTACTCAGCCTAGTCCTGAATAAAATCTAATGATCATTAAAAATGGAGCAACCCAGAAAAAATGTTCCCGATTCATTCAAGCATCTTTAAAAATATCCCCAAAATAATTTCTGTTACTCATAGTCTCAGAGAAGATAGCATACAAAGTACAGCTGAGTTGTGGTTAGTTTTTTATATGACCAGGGCTAGATTTACCAATCTGGTCAAAAGAAGTGGAAAGTGTTAATGCAAAACCATTTTTGCCCTTAATGTCTCAGAAGCAACAAAGTACCATTTTGGCCTTTTCTCAAGACTTGAAAGACCTACAAAATAGTGTGACATTTAATATCTCTTTAAAATGAAAACTTTTCTTATCCTTTGACTGACTGAAGACCAGACAATGCTGAACGAAAACAATGTGATTGAAGAATAATAATAAGAAAACCAGAAATGCATTTATGATTTGTTCTTTTAGCTGTTAAACATATTTTCTATGAATTATTTCTCAAATACCAAAATGTGTAGCCAGATAGCTTTCTGAAGTAAGGCTGTTTTCTTCGAAATGTGTTTTCCTCTTTAGGAATATTCATTGTGACAGACTAGGAAACAATATTACTGTCAAAGATGGTTTCTCTCCTTTTCTTTCTATTACAATCACCCCAATTCAATCCTCGGTTAATGAATAAAATTTGTTCTCAATTATTTTATTTCCTGGCTTCATGATCTATTATGGAAAGAGGTGAAAACATGTTGACAACTACTGTGATCAGAATGACCAAGGTAATTAGTATGATCAGAGTGGCCAGGATTACCTTACTAATTTTTTTTTTTTTTCTTTAGCTTGAATGATTGCAATTCTTGTCTGTTAAAACTGTGCCTTTGGCTTAAAAACCCTTTCAGAATATGCACAGAAATTTTCTTTTAAGTAACTGGAATAACAGTTGTTTGAAGAGTGTATGTGAAAAGCCTTGTCCTATTGGAACAACTGAAATGTTATTATTTTCTTCAGTATAGTTGATTTTTGTACACTTTTGCATCTTATTCAGTGATAATATCCAATGGCTGGAGGAGCAAACTTAGGGACTCTAGACTGATCCAGCTGTTTGTATCTCCAGTAATTATTTCAGGAGCCAAGAACATCAATATGGACCTTGGAAAGACATGCTAACTGCACTACCCAAAGTTACTATGGTAGACTTGGGCTGTGTTGCATCTTGCTACATCTGAATTTCCAGCAGATAAGACAAATCTTTCCAAACCGAATAAGGAAAGATTTAGTTAACAGCAGTTCAAAGCTTCTATAGAACTGTTCTATTCTTTCCTCAAACACTTTTCTGTATTTTGAGGCAGATGATTTAATCAAACCAAACTGACATTGACTTAATGACCTTTAAAACATGTATGAAAATACCTTTGTATATTAACACATGTAATTTTTTTTTATCTTAGAATAATTCAGGTTGGAAGGGAACTCAGGAGGTCTCTAGTTTAACCTGCTCCTCAGAATGGGTCAGTCATGAGGTCAGGGCTTTATCCAGGCAAATCTCCAAGGACAGAGACTGCACAACCTCTTTGAGAAACCTATTCCGATACTCAACTGTCTCAATTCATTTGAACCCTTTGTTGTTTCAATTTATGCCCCTTGCCTCTTGTCTTCCCACCATGCACCACTGTAATAATTAAAAAGAAATAAAATATTGCATTAATTTGAAAGGTAAAAGGCAACACCCCCCACCCCCCCCCAAATGCCTCTATATAAGGAAAACAAATACCATACCTACTTCAGCCCATTTAGTCTACCTATGTAGAGCAGCCTACAAGAAACATCTCACAGGTCTGAATAACACCATCCAGCATAGCTCCACTGAGATTGTCAAGGGAGACAATGATCAGCCTATTTGCTCATTAGTTTCCCACCATTAGAACATCACACCTTACCTGAACTGAGCTGTGGCACCATCCTTTGAATATTCCAGGTTCAACCCCCAAATTTTTTTACCTTCCCTAGACAACCTGGCCAAGAGCTCCAGTCCTCTGAGTCTCCCAGCATGGCGTCTGAGTGAAAGGAGATGGCAACAGCTGATCTAGCTACCCTGTACCCTCTTTGCATTCAACAAAACTGAGGACACAGACCAGCTAATGATAAGTAAACACATAGATTAAGACACATGAAGAGTGCTGAAAAGTGCAACTGATTTTTTACATTGCCTGTAAAAGAAAACTTAGTGTGAGATAAATCCCACTCTTTCAATCTGGGGTTTACAGCTTACTGTTCCCAGGCCTGGGGAATGAGGGTAGTAAACAGTGTGGAGATTCACAAAGTGATTTACAAAGACCTGATAAAGTCTGTTAGCATTCATCCAGAAAGCTCCTTTGGGTGGGATTGCTCTCACCTCATTGTGGACATCTCAGAGTTAGACACCTTTTCACATTTCTTTCAGGATGAAACGAATCACATCTCAGAGTGTCAGTTGACTACAATTGATGACCTGAGATGTCTCAAGTGAGATGAGATAAGTTCACCTTTTGCATCCATTAGGCCTACTCTTCTTGCTGCCTCAACTAATGGACAACTGCTAAACCTCCAAAGATTAGTAATTCTACTGTCAGTGATAGGACTGGGCAAACATCATTAGTCACCAGCAGACTGTGAACACATAAGAATTCTAGGATTGCCTTATATTACATTGCTTCCTTAATGACTACTTACAGGACAAGGCTTCTTAGCAATTAGTGAAGCGTTAAGTCACATTTTCTTTTGCATGGTAAGGTTGGACTAATTTTCAGCTACTTTGCTATCATAAATAATTTAAATCTGTGCA